CTGCTGTAGTGGGCAAAGTCCGGAAACATCAAACAGGTGTTTTTGCCCAAAATATCAGGGGGTTCAGGCTCCTGCAGCTTCCCCAAATGAAGAATTGAAGGCTTTAATAGGAGACCCAATAATCCTGTATAATAAAAGAGGAGGGGAACTCATCTCAGCTGAATGAGACAGAGCCATTTCAGGTGATTTTAAAACTGTATCATCCGAAAAGGAAATGGTCTCTCCTCTGCAGCAACATGAAGAGAGAGTAATTCAGCACTGACCCGACTTTCTCATCCGCAGGGCCTTTTATCTCGATTTTTTTTGATATCTTCCTCTCCCAGTATCTCACTCTGGGGGTAGAGTGACCAGGTTTACAAGAATGTTGAATTATAATTAAATCAACTTTTTGCTGTGAATCTAAACAATCACCAATCAAATTCTACCATGCAAACTCATTAATATGAAACTCATGTGGCCTTTGTAGGTGAGATTCTGTCTTTAAACCTTTACCTACCTACACATTTCCATGTCCATAAGTTTATAGGGCCGTCTTCAGGGATCTAAGGGCAGGGTTTTAGAGTGACCAGCAGAGGACCTCTCTCAGCGTCAAAGCAATACGTTACAAACCCGAGAGAGACTGCAGAAGCAAAGGAAGCATCTAAAGCAGCTTGCTCAGTCTTGCTGAATCTGTGGCCCTTTACCACAGTGCTCATGTTGGAGTGACCCCAATTATAACATTATGTTTGTTGCTACTTTATAACTGTAATTTTCTACTCTTATGAATCTTAGTGTAAATATCTGCGTTTTCCGATGGAAATGTTATTCAATTCCTACAGGGGATATGACCTATAGATTGAGAACTGCTGATCTAAAGGAACAACTGTGCTCGCAAGAATTCTACCACCCCAGGACTGGAGAGATGGCTCAGAACTTCAGAGCACTGGCTGTTCTTCCAGAGGTCCTGAATTCAATTCCTCACAACCTCCTATAGTGTGATCTGGTGTCCTCTTCTGGTGCGCAGGCAAACATGCAGACAGAAATAAATAATTCTTTAAAAAGAGAGAGAGAGAGAAAGAATTCTGCTATCCCATGTTTTACTCTGATGCTTAAGCTCCTTCAGGCTGACTTCTTTTATTTATCTACGTATCATGGCAGCACCAACTCCTTCTCCTGTACTCAGGTGTCTCTGTTTGGGTGCCATTTTGACCTGTGCCATAGGTCATCCTCCTTAGAGAGAGGAACAAGAGGTCAGAAGACAAGGCAATAGAAGACAGAGAAGATTAGGTTGGAGTATGGAGCTCTTGCTCAAGCTATGTTTTATATCAAGCAAATGTATTAAGATATACAACACCTAATATACTGTTTCCAGGAGAGAAATGGGACAGAGTCAGTGGCAGGAGGCTAATGGAGCAAAGGAAACAGAGTTTATCTCTAGGGCATTACAGACTGAGCACACAGAAGTCATGGAACTGATAACTCCAGTCTCTTCAGGAGGAAAAGTCAGCTTCCCACGAACTGAACCCTTAACTCCTTTTAGACTCCAGTTCCAGCCCAAGACTGGCTTTGCTAGATTCATTCTGAGCAAGGACACAGAACTACATCCTTTGTGTCCTTTCATCAGGACCTCTGAGAACGTCCTGGATTGGTCCAGATCTCAACAGCTCAGCAGCTAGGAGTGTGCACGGTGTGTGTGACCTCAGGGCTGACCACTTGCTGCTGGATCATTTGGTGTGCTCTTCCCTGGGGAACAGTATTCCCATCATCCTCAGGGTGCCTGTAGTTCTTTTCCTGGGGGAGGTCCCAGGAGAGTTCTCTCACATCCTAGAGTCTGAGCAAAGCATTTAGATAATTTAGGAATCTATGCCTACAAATATGTGTGTGTAATAACAAAGTAGTAGACACCACAAACTTGAGAGGACAGGAGGGAAAGATAATGGGGTGGGTTGGCTGGAGCAAAGGGAAGGGGAGAAATGATATAATTACATTGTAATTTCAAATTTTAAATATATAACTATAAAAAGAGCATTTGCTGCTCTTTCCAGAGACCTGGTTTCTGTTCCCAGTATTCACATGGTGCCTTCCAGCCATCTGTAAGTGCAATTAGGCCTCACTGAGCTCCAGGCTGGCACATGACATCTATACACACATGCAAGTAAACACTAATGCACATAAAATAAAAGAGATAAATCTTTAAAAATTAAAATTTGGGCTAGAGAGTTAGTTCTGACATGGTCACTTTCTAATGTCTGTATCTCCAATTCCAGAGATCCAACGCCTTCTTCTGGCATCCATGGCCACCAGGTATGCACATGGTACACATGTGTACATGCAGGAGAAACATCCAAACACACAGGATAAAATATTTTTATTAAAACAAAAATAAAATAAAAGCTAGTTCACCAGACATTTAGGAAAAGCAGAACAACTAATCAAATTACTTGTAGACTTGAGAACATGAATTACGCCAGTGCAAAATTTCCTCCCTCTTGTTCAATGATTCATGCATTTTAGACAATCTAGTTGTCTCTGGTTACAATGCTTAGATCATAACGGACAGGGAGATGAGCCTGAGGCTCACACCATGGACTCAGTGTTCCAGACTTTACTCTGTGGGCTGACTGTGGCAGTCATCAGATGTGATCATGGGTGGTGTCAGAACCTGGGCAGAAATCCGCAAACGGAGTTCTCAGGGAACACATGTGCTTAGAAAGGGCACAGCTGAGCAGCCTAAGTAAAGTCCACTTCCGTGAATGACAGCCTGTGAGTGTGACCACATACAGGAGGAGCTGAGAGGCAACCGCTTCCTACCCATTGACTGGGATTGGGATTTGGATGACAGGTCTTAGATTTGTTGTGACTAGAACTGCCTTTAAGTGAAATATTTTTCTCTTGAACAGGTACTGCCTGATCTGAGAAATTAAATCTTTTGTCTCCCCTGTTTTCAGAAAACAGGGTGTAGCAATAGCCTTGGCTCTGTAAATAGATGAGCTGAAGACAAAATGATGCGTGAGCTGAGCCAACAAAGGTCTCCGAGTGGCATTTTTGTAAGCTAATAATATGGCTGGCAAAGATGACATGTCAGGTGCCTCATTCCTTTCAATGACCGAACCATGTCAAGAAATCACATTACAGCTTTAAATACATTACATAGATACCATACCAGACGAAGGTAGACTTAATGTACCAACCACATCTTCTCATCTCCCAAATCCTGTGTTCCATTCCATCATGGTTGCATTTCCCAGTGATGTCTTTTTCAGATCATTTCATATGACCCGTCCCATCATTTAATTTTATTTTTGTTGTCTTCTTTAGTGGTGCCATTATGCCCACCCAATTCTTCCTTCTGCATGTAGCTCTAACCTCCATAAACATCACCACTATGTTTTCTTCCTCCAGGAAATCAAAGGGAATATCCTCTTTAATAACGTTTGTCCTTGTAGTACAGAGAAAAGAACACAGACGCACATGGGGCTGCTTAGCACAACACGTTCGGATACAGACGTGTTGCGTAGGCTAATGGGTGTGTTATAGACGGTTACACTTGCTGCTCTCTCTGCAAACTCTCTTCTGTTTTCTTCTCTGCTCTCGTCCGCCCCGTTAACAGCAGCCAGACCCAGGGAGCGCTGAGTGAGTCGGACGACCCTGAGACAGGCCGTCTAACTGACGACAAGCCAACGTCTCGACACTTCTACCCCGTCGCCCTGCTCCTCGTCAGCTCACACCTGCTCGTTGTGTGGCTCATTTTAAGTCTCGCGTTACTCTTAGCCAAATACCAGTGAATTTTATGCTGTGTTCCTTCCTTTTCTACAAACGACAATGGACTTTAATTCTGGGGACAATGTTGTAATATTTCTACACGTTCAGATTCACAGAATTTAAAAAAAAGGCGATAAAAGGAAATGTTTAAATTGTGTTTTGTTTGTTTTTCCTAAAACATAGAAGGCAAGAAGTGCTATGCATTAAGTGAATTATTTTGCTCTTTTGTTTGCGGAAAAGTGTTCTCCCACTGCTAAGTAGCTAAAGACGCATTTTAAAATTACTGTCTTTGGAACAAGACAAAGAATAGAATCCTGAAAGCTTGAAGATCTGAACCTCCCCTTCCCATGTCATTTATTAAAGAAATTAGGACTGACATTGTGCAACCGTAAAACCCCTGAGACAATCTCGGAGGCAGGAGGTTCCAGACTCTCTTTCCACTGTGCTAATAACATAGTTGCGATCAGCTGATAGACGTGTGTCCGCTTTCCGACTCTACCCTCCTGTCTCTTCGTCATGGCTACTTTTAATCTTCTTGTGTCAAGTAACTTTATGGAAAGAATGGCTATTTATGTTTTGTAATTAAATTAACCGATTTCTAACTATTGTTTGTGTTAATTTGGCTTTCAGACTACTTTTCTATTCTTTTTACCAAGGACTCATTTGTGTCTTGATGCGCCATTTTTCGCACCTGTCACTTTTGTACTGTGGTTGAGGCGCGCTCCTCCTTCGTGACACTGGCGTTTGGAGCAGGCTGCTGAGAAAGCCATCTGCTCCCTTCACTGCATAGCTAAAGCGACAAAGTCAAATAGGAACGAACTTCCTTTTAAAAATCTATAGGGCCAGACTTAATAAATTAAATGCCTTATTCCTAGAGCTGCATCCGTAGGGCTACATGTAGACTTTAGTGTGTTTTAAGGGACTGATAGTTAATTTGTGGAAAAGTTATACAAAGGCAGATATATTTATGAAACTAAAGCATAGCTGTATTGTGAAGCAAATTATATTTAAAGAGTTTATCAAAAGTTAAATATCTGTTAAGAAACTTAATCCTATCTTTCCGAAGGCAATAATGGTATTGGGCCTGGCCTAGGATTTAATTTTGTAAGATGTATCATCACTTGTGGGGGCGGGGGGGAATGTAGAGTTGAATCTTTGTTATTTTTACTTGGACTGTTGCTGCAACTCTGCATTGACCAAATAAAGCATATTTCTTTATTCTCTGTTTCATGAAGTTGTACTTTCTGCCCTTTCACCAGAGAAGGATGCCGCATAGAGAACGTACTGAAGAATATCAAATGCAGAAGGTATGCTTTCAACATGCTACAGCTGCTGGCTTTCCCCAAGTGCTACCGGCCTCCAGAAGGCACTTACGGAAAAGCTGACACCTAACTCTCCCAGCCTGGAAACAAACAGGAACACAGATACCTTGCGTTTGGAAGATCTACACCTCTGCCTTTTTTTTGTTTTTTATTGTTATGAGTTTTTGGAGCGCGGTACTTATGGGTGTTGTTCATATCCAAGCCAATACATCACTCAGAAAGCGACCCAGCACCACTCTGTCCAGTCTGTCTGTTCTTCTTTGTGTTAACTCTTACCGGTTGAAGTTAGTTCAGAAACTTTAAGGAACTAAAAGTGCAAAGAAATTTAAGAATAGAGTCTTCTGGTGCCCACATAAAGATGCTTAGCAGCTGGAATCTCATTTGGAGAAATCCAGAGACGTGAGAGACATATGTATGAGGTGTTCCCTGCCAGTGCTATTACTGTGTGACTTTGCAGTCTATCATAGGTCTATATGAAGCGGAGAATCCTATAACATACATGAGTAATAAACAGTGATAAATTTACACAGTGATTTTCAGTTAATTGGGATTTCAGATCTGTCCTTATGGTAAAATACCACTACATGTAAAACTGCTAACATTCCAAATTACTGGTTTCCCTAGAGACCAACCACATTGGATAAGTTTATAATTCAAAAAATGAGTAAATCAAGACAGGTTGCTCATGACTTCAGAAGAGCCATTACAGCCACCCTGACATCTATCTCTTTGAGACTCCCTAACCTGCCACTCCTGTCGTCTGCAGATCGCTACACTAGCTATCTATGAACCGTCACAGAGGGGAGTCAAATAGAAATTAGGATTTATCACTGGAATGCACACTTAGAGTAAAGTGATCTGAAAGAAAATCTGTATTCTTCGCATTCTCACCAGTGGGAAGTGCTGTGCAAGCCCGTGTCTCCTCTGAGCCACCAGAGGGTTCCAACTCAGACACTGCTGTCACTTCATCCAAAGGTTGTCCTTTGTCTTCACAGTGACATGACAGCTCTTTGCCTAAGATGCTTCCTGTGCAGGCTTATCAGATAGATCTCCAGTCCCGTGTTGAGTATTTCAAAAGCCTGAGGATAGATGATAACCCCCTGAGGTTTCTACATGGAATTATCCATTTCTTATTTTAGCTAATAGCCTATGGTTTTTGCCAAAGCAGTCACTAAACTATTTGTAGCCTTTAAAAATGGAAAAAATGCATCTAAATATGAAAATAATTATCTAGTGTTCCGAGAGCTGGTCTCCATTTCAGTGATTTAATGTAATCTTTCGTTTGACTTTTAGCTAGGTGGTAGGATTTGTGGCTATTCTTGTTACTGTATTGAGTTGAAGACAGTCGTGATGACTGAGGTTTGATTAGCTCTGAGCTGTTCTTAGTATTTTAAGTGGTGATATTCATCCCAGGACATCTCATATGATGTTTTTAGCTCAGAAATGTTTTATAAACAATAATTGTTTATATATTTTTATAAACTAACCATCTTAACTAAAATATACTAAATATTTATTAACTGGAAAGCCAATAGTAAGGTTTCCAGTTTTGCATGACGTTTCATAAGACATATTTTTCTTTGTCAACAAATGCTAATACAGAAATATCAAAGATGGGCCTGACTATACTGTACATGCAAATGAATGTTTATTCACTGACAGCATCGCCATCATTCCCTGTGGGAATTTATGCATCCATTCTTATTTCCTAAAAATTCTTATTTCCTAAACATGACAGCTCTTCTCCAAATGCACTCAGACAACCACTTCATGACTTTCTGAATCAAACCATAGATGACATATTTTAGAAACTCCCTTGTACAAACGCAGGCCCAGTCATGCAGTCCTCTCAGCTCCGTCATACTGTTCTACCCATGTTCTCACTGAAAAGCTGCACCACCAGCATGTCTAGGGAAGCACACTGAGTCAAACGATTTATCAAGAAAATGACATTTCTAAACAACGCAGTCTTCTTCCTCACAAATAAGATTTTCTCCTATTCTCATCAAACGCAGGTATCAATTCTGGATTAACTATTTACAGACCCCTGAAAGAAACATTTTAAGAGCACAAAAAAACAAAGCCATGATTGTTATCCAAAAGTCTAGAGTGTGTGTCTGTCTTCCAGACAGCTAACTATACCCTTGAACCATCTGACTGAACCAGGGCCGTATTTGTGTGTACCAGCTCACTAAATTTCCACCTCTGCTTTTCCTCCTACGTATTACTGTGAGTTCAACCACACACCGCTTTTCCTTCTACGTATTGCCCTGAGTTCACCCACGCACCGCTTTTCCTCTTACGTATTGTCCTGAGTTGAATCCACACACCGCTTTTCCTCCTATGTATTGTCCTGAGTTCACCCACGCACTGCTTTTCCTCCTACGTATTATTGTGAGTTCATCCAGGCACCGCTTTTCCTCCATCTAAACGCTAACACTGTGTGGTCAGCCTGGTAAATCCAGCAGGGCCCTGGTAACTGCACGAGGTGGCTGATGAATGATGTAAAATCTGCCTACTCTACAGTCAGGGCGATTCTCCATGTGGCCACTAATCACTCCTGCTGCCGCTGCTTCCTACAAACAGGAAGTCTTGAAGGCTACCACTGACTGGATGGCGCACCCACCCTTCCACACGTTAAGTGGTTTTCATAAAGTAGAACTCAGAATGGCAAAAGGGAGGGAACGTGATTGTTTTTTTTCTAATCAGATCAAATCCCTCCCTCTGCAGAGATACTCTGCAAGAGACGTTCTCCCTGCTGTGCCCGAAGAGATGCATGAGAGGTGGTCGTTGAGTTTTCAGGAATGGCACAAACTGGTGGCTGCGCAGTGGCATAGCTGTCCATAAGTCGTTAAATGAGTTTATTAAAAGTAAAGATGACAGTCATAGCTTAGGACTTCCTAGATTTTTAAAAATCAAATTCTGCAGTTTATCCCGCTTCTAAGTGTTGTTGGCTCTGGTGGTTCTGTGCGGTGTAAATGCCGTATTGATAACGCGCACCTGTGAATCTCCTGAATCCACATTTGAGAAGGCAGTGTTGGTATCTGGAAATCAGCCACTGCGGGAATATTCACACCACAGAAACTGGCGAATGCCATAAACTAGGACATTTAGATCTTACTGCGGTTAAGCAGTTCCCAACTAGTGCATGGCTCTGAGTCACTACGACAATTTCTCAGAAAATACCAGATTATTGAAGGGAGGTTACCATTATTAGGATGGTTTTAAATGAAAGTAATCTTATTCGGATTATTGTGATTTTATGTTTGATGTTTTCAACTTTAAGGAAACAGGCATGTCTATACACTAGAGTGGAAACATTTTTTTTTCATAATCAGTTATTACATTAGAGGACAAGTTTAAAAGCTATCAGTAGTGTGCTGCAGGTGGCCTTGAGCAAGACAGCCTTATTGTAACTGATACATCAGGACTAAAGTCAGGTAATGGGAAGCTAATTATAATATAACTACAATACACTTCATCTCAATTTCTAAGTGTATGGTTATGGCATTGCTGACAGGAGAGTGGAATCATATTACTATAGTCAATGTTTACTACGGTGATCACAGTTGAAACCTAGACTGATTAGGTAAAGTAAGCCCTGACAATATGCTGATACAACCCAGATATATGTATTTGATTCTCAAGGGACATAGTATTCTAGTTCAATAAGAGGGACACATTTTGTAATCTTTTATGAACTAAATTAATTATGGGGAAGGTTCAAGGAAGGCTTTCTCTTTTTAACACACATTTCAGAACCTTGTTTGAGCCCCTGATCAGCAGGGTGGAGGGAAGCAGGCAGAGTGGGCACAAAACATCTCTGCTATCTAGAAGTTGTCTAACAATGTGCTCTACTCATAACTGAAAAAAAATTAAATTTTCTAAGAACTTGCACAGCTTATGGACAGGTTTAACATAAATTTATATTCATCCATCCCACTTCCAATCTGTGTAAGCTATGACCCATATTTATGATATTAACTTTTTAAGTAAAATATCCTTGTATAGATTATCTTTTATTTCTCTGACAGCTTGAAATTAGATGTTTTTCTTTGCATCTTTCCACACAAAGATGCAAACTATAGTACACACTGTCTTTAAAAATAGAAAGATAAAAATCAACATTTTAGACAAAATCCAGGCTGCCCATTAATATTGAGTTAAGGAACAGAAATTTTCCCTCTTCCTGAGCAATGGGGCATGCTAATTTCTCTTTGAATTTTATTTCTAAGACTATAAAATACATCAGTTTTGCTTCTGATTGAAGAGGACCAGACAATACTTAACTAGAGAAAGGGACACGTATAAGGTAATACAAATCCCTCAAATGGTGAATCCAATTGCTCTTCCTGAGCTTGGATTTTTACTCAGACATGCGTATTTAAAGAAAAAGAAGTTCAGACTTTAGCTCTAAATAGCATAGACATTAGCATAAATGCAACTTGTAAAAATGCTTCTGTAGGACTCAGCCGTTAAGGGCACTAGCTGCTCTCCCAAAGGTTTTGAGTTCAATTCAAAGCAACCACATGGTGGCTCACAACCATCTGTAATAAGATCTGATGCCCTCTTCTGGTCTGCATGCATACATGCAGGAAGAACACTGTATAGATAAATAAATGAATAAACCTTTAAAAAATTGCTTCTGTCTATAAGCCATGTGCTATGGTACACACCAGTACACTCTCAGTAACAGCAGTATTTAAAGACAAAGGTATATACCATTCTGCACCAGAAGAATTTCTATAGACATTTTAAATTATTCCCCTGTAATGAAAGGGCACAGTATAGCAGAATGTCTTTTGTGATGGCGGTGTTCATCAGGAGGCTCTAGACTCAAATTTGGCCAATATGTCTACAATATCTCTATAATTCTTGAAATTACTATGTCACCATCAACATCATAACCTATCTGTGTTGAAGAGCCTGCACACTTTTCAAACTGCAGAACTGTCATGGATCTGCATATGCCACCCTTTGTGCATGTATTTTCTTCTGTGAACATTTTGTCTTTTCACACATTTGCAGATTCTTGTGTTATTCATTTGAAAGGTTGACCTTTCTTTTTATATTAAATATATATCCAAGAAGAACCAATAATGCATATTCCCAGGAAATGAATCTCAGATAGATAGATCATCTTATATTAGCATTTGAAGAAATATAACATTCATCTTATTTTGTGTAAATCATATTCATTGTGCACTGTATGTATATTTTTGTTGAAATAAATATGGTTTTATTTTTATGTTTCTGTCTTTTCCTCCCCATTATACATTATTTTTTATTTTTATCCATGAGGCAACATTTAAACATTAATGAAAATAACAAAAGGATAGCACAAATAGTATTTCGAGGAGACTAGGCCTCACTTTTGTTAGATCACAAAAACAATGCATGTTTTAAATTGATGACAGGTTAGTCTAGTTTTGTTGGCAGATGGGCTTTTCATGGTCATTCTTTTTAGGGGAGCATCAAACACAACTTCCCGAGTCAAAAACAGCTGTGGTGATTCTATAGTAGGGGATCATCAATAATTATTAAAAAGTATAGATGATACATGGATGGCTGGATGATATAGATACATGATGGATGGATAGATAGGTACATACATACGTACATAGATAGATACATAGATAGAAAATAAATGATAAATAGATAGATAGATGATAGATAAATAGGTAGACAGATACATAGAAGATAGATAGATGATAGGATAGATAGATGGATAGACAGACAAATGGCAGATAGGTAGATAGATGATAGATAGATGGTAGGATGGATAGATAGATAGATAGATAGATAGATAGATAGATAGATAGATAGATAGATA